TGGTGGTGGCCCTGAGGCAAGGGGAGGAATGTGAGGGCTGGTGGGGCAATGTTGGGAGCTGGGGGACCACTGCCCCAACCAGTGATGGAGAGGCTGAACTTCACATTAAGAGAAACGCTTAAAAAAAAAAAACAAAACAAAGTCTTTCAGGCTGCGCAGACTTTCCAGGGCGCATTAAGGACTCCTTGCTGGCTTGTTTTCTTTTCCTTTCGCAAAACCTGTAATATTTACGATGCCACGGCCGCAGATCCCTGCAGGCAGCTGCCTCCCTCTGCCCACGACCTGCCGGCACCCAGGGCTGCTGCTGCTCCGCTGCCGGGGCGCGGGGCTGGGGAGAGCATCCATCCTCACCCCGCGCTCCACTGCCACCCGGCCGGCCACTCCGGGCACGGCCACGGAGGAAACGGTGCCGTTCCTGTCTGCCAAGGAGAGTTGAGATTTTCAAACATTTCCTTTCCCAAACTGGGCTGCAAAAAAGAAAGTTGGGGAAGGTTTGGGAAAATTTTTTCTGCTCGGTCAGGAAAGGTTGCACTGGGGACATCTGAAACCTTGCTTTGCGTTTTAACCTTTTCCCTTTGGTTAAACCCTACAAGATATATTCAATGATTAATGTTCATGATACTACATCCATTTTTTTTTTTTTTTTTTTAATATAATGCTGTTACCTCTCAGCAGTTTGCCTCGCATTTTGAAAAAATGGAAACTTTTTTTTTTTTTTTTCCAATGCTCTTTTGCTTGAGTCAGGAAATGTTTTGGAGCCGTTTCCCACAAACAGGTTTGGTTTTGATAAATCTTTTTTTTTTTTTTTTTTGGTGGAAGAGGGGAAAAAAAAAAATAATCCCACCACTAGCTCTAGAGCAGCTGCCGGGTGCTGCGGGTGGGGAACCAGCACCGGCAGCATCTTCCCATTCCCACCATGTCGCCATCACAGGGACGTGTGGCTGGGACCCCCCAAAATACATGGATTGAGAAGCTCTAATTCCCTGTAAACATCCCAGCCGGGATGATTCCATCGAGGCTGCGTGTCCGTGGGTGCGTGTTGGTGTTCCCCCCTCTCCAGAACGCGCTGGGTCAGGATGGATCCGGCTGCAGCGGCCGGTCCCCGCTCACCCCCGGCTTCATCGCGGCTTCGGCCTCGGGAGCGGCGAGCCCATCGCCGGCCCGGCTGGCACATGCTGTTTTAATATCTGGGTGATGTCATCGAGCGCTCTATAACGCCGTAAAAAACCCCAGAACATCTATAAACCTGACCGGTGAACCTCCAGCAGAACACACACGCGCAGGGGTGTGCACACGGGTCTGCACACACGGCTACACGCACACGTGCACGCGCACACACATGTGCAGGAACACGCACACCACACGTGCAGCCACATGGACGTGCACACCCACGTCCATGCAGATGCATGCATGCATGCTTGGAGATGCATGCGCGCGCGCACACCCCGACATGGATGCACATGCACACATGTATGCACACACGTGCATGTAGAGGTGCACATGCGGATACACGCGTGCAGACTGTCCTGGGACATGGGGAAGCACATGCGGGTGCACACATGCACACGTGTGTGTGTGTGTGTGTCCCCGGACCCTCTCCCAGCACAGTGCCAGCAGCACGGGAAGGACATGGGACCGATGCGCTCACACGTGTCACAGCATGTGGGGGGCCTCTGCGGAAGCAGCCCCGGCGTGTGGGGCAGCGAGCCCCGGGGGGACCCCACTGCCCCCCGTCCCCAGGGGACACAAAGCAGATGCCACTTGCCCATAAAGCCCAGGCAGGCCCTGTCAGGTTTTACATGTACCTTCTCCATATTTCTGCTGTAACGACCTGCTAAGAGCCCCTCGCTCCTCCTCCTCCCCAGTCCAAAACCATCAGGCCCGGAGCTTTGGAGAGATTAAGTCATAAAAATCGGAAGGGGCTGCGCAGTAACAGCCCCGGCCTGAGCCATAATGGCAGTGAAATCATCCCCAAACTATTTCAGCCCCGTCCATTTCCAGTCCCACGTCACACCTGAGCCACCGGCACGCCGCAAAATAAACCGCTGGTGGATGGTTTCCTGGCCCCAGCGTGGCCGTACAGGCGTGGGGGGCAGGGAAGGGAGGTGATGTTAAAAATAAAAAGGCTTCTCCCGGTGCTGGGGGACTGGTGGCGGTGCCTGAGCGGAGCAGGATGTGGCCCAGCTGGGCTGAGGGATCGCTGAGCTCCAGTAGGCAAGGCTGGAGCAGCCCGTCCCAGCTCCCGCCGGCTTTTCTGACCCCTGGTTTGCACTGACTAACCTCGGGCTGAGCAAACCCCCCACGGCCAAATTGCCACAGACCGGTGAAACCGGGAGATAGTGGGTTTAGCATCAAATCGAGCGCAGCTAATTAGTGGAGTGGTGAAAGCTCGTCAAGGAGCCAGCACCCCTTCCAGGGTCTGCCTAGCTCTGCGTCCTCCTGACAGAGCCGGAGCAGCCCCGGTACCGCCCAGCCCAGCCGAACCCTGGGTTTGGAGAGGGCCAAATCCTGTCCTGGCCATAGTTAAAACAGGATGCCGCAGCTGTGAGAAGGCGCTTGCCTAAACCGCCTGCTCAGAGGTGAGGCTGGAAGAACAGCCCCAGTTCGGGACACTTCTGGGTGAATTTGGTGTCAAACCAGCGAGTTTAGGTGAAAAAGGCCGTGCAAAACGCCGAGCGATGGGAGGAGGCGGCGTCCCCCAAGGGTCTGGCACGGGTTCTTCTGCCCGCTGTTATCTGACCCAAACCTGTGCTCCTGTTTTCTTCCTCTCTCCTGTCCCTTCTTTCTCGTTTCCCCGTGACCTGGGGTAGGGCTGGCCAGCGAGACGGGGCAGCCACGCATTGTTCACGGCCTCGATTGCAATTAGGCTTTATTATTAATAAAAACACCCGGGGCTGAGTTAGGCAGGAGGGTTGGCAGGGCCCTGCCTGCTTTTTTGTGTAGAAGCGAGCTGGCGAACGTCGCGCGGTGTTAGAGCGATGCAGACCCGGGGACCTGAAATTTGGGGCTGGGTCTTGGTGACCTGGGGATGGGGCCGGGGGTGGGGGGGCGGTGGTGAGGGGAATGGCAGGTCCCTGCAAATCACCCCGGCACCGCTCGGTGCTTTCGCAGCAGCCGCGGTTCCAACACGATGCACCCATCCCTGGTGCATTTACGGATGGCAGTGACCGTCCATCCCCCCCCACCCCCGCAGTTTTCAGGCTGGTACCTGCCCCAGCCCTGCAGCAGCATCCTCGGGCGCAGAGCGAGGGGACCCCTGCTCCCCACCCAGCCCCATGGCAAAGTCACATTTTTGAACAGTTTTGCAGCACAAGCGCTTTGGGAAAGCTCCTCTCCGTGCCCGGGCGCACTGCCGGTGCCGTGAGCACCCGAACCCCAAGCACGCTTGGACCCCCGTTGCTCCAGAGCGAGGAACCGCAGCCAAAAAAAAAACCCCAGGGATTTCGAGCCATCCTCTGAGATCAGAGATAAACTGGCACGGCCCGAGCCGCGGGGAAAGAAGGGAATTTCTGCAGCAGAAAAAATGACTTAACGTTTCCTCCGTGATGTGATCCGCCACCGGCTTCCCCCAGCACGGCGGGGCGAGTGCGCCTGGCTCCTTTGAACCGCAGGAAGCGGTCGCATCCTCGCCGGGAAGGTACCTGGAAGCTGAGAGCTGGAAAACAAGTCAAGGCTTTCTTTTCTAACCCACCCCCCCCACCCCCCCCCGGCTCTAATCTCCTTCCTCCCAGGCCGCTTCGGGGAGCGGAGCGGGACGGAGCCTATAGACGGCTGCTTCCTTTCATAGTCATCGGCGGCGGCACAGGATGCTTCTCATTTGGTGTTGTGTTTGTTTGCTGCGGCGCGGGTTCTGGCACCCGCCGGGCGCCCGCCGGCCCTCCCGTGTAGGTAGTGAGGTCATTTTTCCATGTATTCCCCCTTTTTACATACTGTATATGGAAAGACAATGAAGCGCCTTTCTGGCGTTTAATGGGAACGCGTCGCCAGCCCCCAAAGTGGTCCCGTTTATTAGCGCTGCGCATTAAACAACAACAAAAAAAAAGTGAGTCAGGATTTAGTCTTGTTAACACTAATGTGAATTTAATTTAGGAGAAGCTTGAAAATTAATGTCATTTGTTAAATATCCATTTCCCCTAAAAGGCAATTCTTTGCCAACAACAACAACAAAAAAACTCTTCTTCTATTCAATTTTTTTTTTTTTTTTTAAATAGCCTTTTTTGGCGATATCAGCCTGGTTTAAATCACTCAGCGTTCAAGGAACGGATGCCACCGGGGTTTTATGCAACAGATTGCCATTTCTCCTTTTCAGATTGAACAAAAATATACTGTAAATCATAAAGGGTTTCACGGGAGGGGGATGAAGCTCTGACAAAGCATCGGTGGCTCCGAGCGGGGTCCGGCCCGGCCCGGCGATGGCTCGGCAGGACCCGCCGGCTGCCGGGGGGTGGAAGGGCTCCGGCACACGGTGGTTTCTTCCAGCTCTGAGGACTGGAGTAAAGGCGTCGGAGCAGCCAGGCTCTATTTTTGGGGCATTTCATGGGAAAACAGGGTGAGCCGTGGGGACCGTGCACCGGTGCGCTGGCAAAGGAATAACCACAGCAAGGCTCGTTTCGGAGGAGGATATCACATGTTTTATTATATTTTAGTCTGAGAACAGCTGCTTTTCCTGCAGAGCACATCTCCGGGCGGCACGGCGCGGTGCTGTGGGGTGGCCGCCAGCATCCCATCCCATCCCACCCCACCCCACCCCATCCCACCCCATCCCATCCCATCCCACCCCATCCCATCGCGCTGCCGGAGCCGCCGTCCCGCGCCGAGCCGAGCCGCGCTCGCGGAGCCCGAGGCGGCTGACGGGGCGGGCGGGCGGCAGCCTGGAAATTAATACATTTGCCAGGTTGTCAAAACATTAATCAACGGATACAAAAATCTGGAAATGGTTGGGACAACATGTATTTGCGGAAAATATGTGTTCACACAACAAGCACACAAGATGGGAACAATTATATGAAGATGTTTTAATAATTAACCAGTATAAAACAGTTTGCTCTCCATACAGTTCTAGACAATAAAAGTGTTTGCAGTCATATTTTTCTTTTGTACAAAATTCCAGTCAATTGTTCCACAATATTTACATTGTCATTCCCTTTTCACAAAATATCTCCTTTTTTTCCCCCCCCTCTTTTTTTTTTTTTTTTTTTTTTTTTTTTAAATCCAGCTTTGCTACATAAATGCTTTAGATCTCATGGATATCCCTCGATTTATTTTTAAAAAGTCTAATAAAAAACCCCCAAAAGACATTAAATACCATTTTATATATAAAAATGCTTAGTAAAAATATAGTTTTGTTGCCCAATTAAAATATATTGCTGAGAATACAGTAAAAACTGTCCTAAAGCCCAACCCTGAAGGGCGCCGACTCCTTAATGGCCCTGGCAAAGTCTTCCTTAAAGTTCTTTTTCCCCTCCTCCTGCAAGTTCGCCTGCCCTTGGGTTAAATACTGGGGGCAGGTCGCTTTGGCTCGTCCTGGTGGTGGTTGTTTCAGGCAGGATTTACTGGAATTGGCTTAAAAATGCCCTTTCGAGCTGGTGGGAGCTACAGCTACGCTCTGCCGAGGGCTGGAGCGGGGAGCGCGGCAGGCAGGCTAGTGCTTGGGAAAGGCGTCTATCTGTGTTATATAGTTATATGGTATATCAGTGAGTTCAGCATGGTTTTTCTCTAAAAAAAAAAAAAAAAAACAAAAAAACAAACCAAAACCAAACCAAAACAAAACATAAAAAAATTAAAAAAAAACCCCAACCAACCAACCAAAAAAAAAAAACCAAAAACCAACACAAAAAAACCCCAAAAGAAAGCGATGCATTTAATGAGATACTCTAAATATTATGGAGCTCGTGGTTAAAGAAGGATGGCTTTTTGTTTTTAGTGGAGAGCCGGGGCTCTCCCAGTGGGAGCATCGGACAGTGGGGCCAACCTAACCGGTGATGCAGGGGCTATAGTAAACAGCGCTGCTGGCATCGGACAAGGCGGATATCAAGCTGCTCTCCTCGCAGGAGATGCTTCTAGGAGTCACTTTGGACAGGGAGACATGGTAAGGGAGGCCCGAGGCTTCGGGACGAGTCCTGCTCATGTTCAAATACTGGTCGAACTCGTTGCGGTCAACGTCTGTCCAGAGCTCGGTTTGGTTCAAGTGATCCACGCTCTCCATGTGGTGGGCTTCGGGTGGGGGCGAGAGCTGGCCCAGGTGGGCGGAAAGCCCGTTCTGAGTTCCCGAGCACATCTGGTTGTAGTATAGGCTGGAGGGATGGGGAGTCCTCATGGCGTCGGCCAAGTGCGAGGGGGTCTGCGCGTAGGGCACCGCCACGTCCCGCCCCAGGCACTTCTCCTGGGGAAACTCCATCTGGTGATGGTGGTGGTAGCCGCGAAAGGGCATCATGTTGCAGTCATCCTGCATGTGCGGAGGGAAAAACGCCGGCTCGGTCTGTTCCAAGACATCCAAGGGAGACATCTCGGGAGTTGGCAAGCCATAGTTTTCAATATCCGACCCCATGGAGTGGAGTTCTCTGAAGTGGTTAAGTGGGGGAGGCTGGGGGTGGCCCGGCTGGCTGCCGCCATGGTGACTCATGCTGAAGTTGTCACTGCAAGGCTGGGAAAGGTTATGCAGGAGGATATTGGGTTCCATCCTCTTGATTTTCTTGGCTTGCTTCTTTCTCCTTGGGCGGTACTTGTAGTTGGGGTGATCCTGGAGATGCTGGATTCGCAGCCGCTCTGCCTCTTCCACGAAGGGACGCTTGTCGCTGGCGCTCAGCGCTTTCCACGACTGGCCTGGAAGGGGAAAGCGAAGCTCTGTGACACCGGCTCGGCCACCCAGCGCTGGCCGGGGTGCGGGGGCACCCGGGGAGAGGGAGCCCTTGGGGTGGGAAGGGCTCCCTCGGACGGTTCGGTGCCAGAGCGGGGTCCCGGTGCTGGCACAAGGAAGCGCTGGGGAACGGGAGCCCAAGCAGGGTTGTCCCAGCAGCAAGCTCGGGCTGTGCCCAGCGGGAGAACTGGGGGTTCAAAGCCCAAAGAAAGGGGCCGCGGGAACCCCTCTGCCAGAGCAGGGGATTCTGCCTCCCCCTGCCCTGCCTGCTTTCCTGAATCCCGCACCCGCTGCCCTGCAGCCCCGTGTCCTGAATCCCATCTCGCAGCCCCATGGCTCCGCATCCGGCTGCCCCATCTGGCCGTATCCTGCTTCCCTTAGTCCCGCATCCTGCAACTCTGTCTGCCCATATCCTGCTTCCCGTGTTCCCACATCCCGCGTCCGACAGCCGCGTGTCCCGCATCCTGCAGCCCTGTTTTCCCATATCCTGCATCCCCTGCAGCTGTGTGCCCCCACAGCCCTGCACCTCTGCATCCCGCAGCCCCGTTTCCCTGCACCTTGCATACGTGCTGTACCCTCACATCCCACAACCCACAGCCCCGTATTCCCACACCCTCCAGCACCATATTCCACAGCCCTGTGGCGCTGCACCCCGCAGCCCAGGATCCCACAGCCGTGCACCCTCACAGCCCGTGTCCCTGCAGCCCTGCATTCTTGCAGCCTGCATCCCTTCAGCCCATATCCCCACAGCTCGCATCCCGCAGCTCTCTAACCTTGCAGCCCGCAGCCCTGGATCCCGTAGCACCCCATCCTTGTAACCCAGCTCCTGCACCCCCATATCCTTGCAGCCTGCATCCTGCAGTCCTTTACCCTTGCAGCCTGGCTACCACAGCCCTGTGTCCTTGCATCCCACGTCCCGCTGCCTCATATCCTTGCAGCCTGCAGCCCACAACCCTTGCAGCGCGCATCCCAATGCCCCGTACCTCTTCATCCCACACTCCCAGCCCCGTCTCCCTGCATCCCAATACCCTGTACCTCTGCAACCCACATCCCCAGAGCCGTATCCCTGCATTCTGCTGCCCTGTACCTCTGCCACTCACATCCCCAGTCCTGTATCCCTGCATCCCACTGCCCCATATCCCTGCAGCTGACATCCCCAACCCTATAACTTTGCATCCCACATCTCCAGCCCTGTATCCCTGCATCCTGCTGCTCTGGACCCCTGCAGTTCACATCCCCAGCCCCACGATCACCTATCCCTACACCCGCAGCCCCATACCCCTGCATCCCTGCCTCCTCAGCTCTATATCCCTGTATCCCACAGCCCTGCACTCTTGCAGTCCCGTACCCCATCCCCGTAGCTCTGTGTCCCTGCCTCCTAGCCCTGTACCCCCACATCCCGCAGCCCTACACTCTTGCAGCCCGCACTCCCAGCCCCGTACCCCCCACATCCCTGCACCCCTAACTCCGCACCCCTGCATCCCGCAGCCCTACGCTCTTGCAGCCTGCATCCCCCCACCCCGTACCACCACATTCCTGCCTCCTCAGCCCCATTCCCCCACATCCCCGCACCCTAACTCCATATCCCCACATCTCCACACCCCTAACTCCACACCCCCGTGCTCCCAGCCCCATACCCCCACATTCCTGCACCCCTAACTCCATATCCCTGCATCCTCGCACCCCTAACTCCACACCCCAGCACCCCCAGCCCCGTACCCCCACATCCCTGCACCCCTAACTCCACACCCCCTCACCCCCATCCCCATTCCCCCACATCCCCTCAACTCTAACTCCATATCCCTGCATCCCTGCACCCCTAACTCCACAGCTCTGCGCCCCCAGCCCCGTACCGCCGCATCCCTGCCTCCTCAGCCCCGTACCCCATCATCCCCGCACCCCTAACTCCCTATTCCCGCACCCTCGCACCCCTAACTCCACACCCCTGCGCCCCCAGCCCCCTACCCCCGCATCCCCGCACCCCTAACTCCACACCCCTGCGCCCCCAGCCCCCTACCCCCGCATCCTCACACCCCTAACTCCACACCCCGCACATCCAGCCCCATTCTCCCACATCCCCGCACCCCTAACTCCATATTCCCACACCCCTGCACCCCTAACTCCACACTCCCGCGCCCCCAGCCCTGTACCCCTGCATCCCCACACCCCTAACTCCACACCCCGCACCACCAGCCCCATTCCTCCACATCCCCGCACCCCTAACTCCACACCCCACACCCCTAACTCCACACCCCGCACCCCTAACAACTCCACACCCCGCACCACCAGCCCCATTCCCCCACATCCCCGCACCCCTAACTCCACACCCCACACCCCTAACTCCACAGCCCGCACCACCAGCCCCATTCCCCCCAAACCCCGCACCCCTAACTCCACACCCCCGCGCCCCCACCAGCCCCGTACCCCCGCAACCCCTGCCTCCTCAGCCCCGTACCCCCGCATCCCTACACCCTCGCAGCCCGCACTCCCCCAGCCCCGCACCCCGGACCCCCCTAACCTCCCCCCACGCCCCCCACAACCCCCCACACCACCCCCCCCCCCCACGCCCTCCTCCCTCCTCCCGCAGCCCGGCCCGCTCACCCAGCATCTTGCTGAGCACGGCGTTGTGCAGGTCGGGGTTCTGCTGCGCCAGCCGCTTGCGCTCATCCTTCGCCCAGACCATGAAGGCGTTCATGGGCCGGCGGATGCGGGAATCCTCGCCGGCCTTGCCCTCGGCCCGGCCCGCCGGGGGGCTGTATCCATAGCCCGGCTCGGGGCTGGGCGTGCGGCTGGGGGCCGCGCCGGGGGCCGCGCCGGGGCCGGGGCCGAAGGCGAAGCCGGGCTCGGGGCTGGGCGTGCGGCTGGCGGGGGAGGCGGCTCCCGGGGGGCGCGGGAAGGCGAGCCCGGGCTCAGCGGCCGGCACGGCGCCGGTGACCCATGAACAGTCGCCCCGGGGTTGCGATATCTCCTCTCGGCAGTAGTTAGACTCAGATATATTCATTCCAGCTGGACAGCACTTTGTGTCCGACCCGACCGGGTGCCGGAGAGAGAAAAACGGGTCCCGCCGCGTCCCACCGAGTCCAGCAGCCGTCGAGCAGCAGCCCCGCCGCTCGCCTCCGCTTCGGGGGGATTTGGGGTCGGCTCGTTTTGTTTGGGTTTCTTTCCTTTTCTTTTTTTTTTTTTTTTTTTTTTTTTCCTCTTTTATTTTTTTTTTTTTCCCCCCTTTCCCCCCAAAAAAAAACTTTTGGGATGATGCTGGGCTGGAAGGGGCAAAATATAGCCGGGCTGGACCAATCAGCGGGGCCGAGGGGAGGAGGAGGACGACGACGAGAGGGAGAGGAGGAGGAGGAGATGAGGGGGAGGAGGAGGAGGAGGTGGAGAAGGAGGAGGAGGAGAAGGAGAAGAAGGAGGAGGAGAAGGGTGAGGAGGAGGAGGAAGGGGGGCGTCCCCAGGCACCAGCAGGAAAAGCCACCCGGGGAGGGCCGGGCTGGGACCGGTGTGGACGCTACTGCCCAGTTCCCTTCCTTCCAAGGAGGAGGGTTGCTAATTTTTTTCTCTGCCTTTTTTTCCTTTTTTTTTCCTTTTTCTTTTCTTTTCTCTTTTTTTTTAATTTTTTTTTTATTTTTTTATTTTTTCTCTACAGCCCCCTTTCTGGCTACTGGGGAACTGCCTGCACCTCCCACAGCCCCGCTGAACCCAGGCAGGGAAGTGTTCAGATTTGCCTGCCAGGCTGCCTGTCTGCAGTCAGACAGAGATGCTGGGGGCTTTGAGTTTATTTTTCTTAGGACTTATTTCATGGGTGTGTTTTGGTCAGTGTTCCGCACCCAGGGTTGGGAGCAGCCCTGGGGTGAAGGCAGGGGGGAGCCCTCTTCCCCTGGCAATTTTCTGGTGGGAATTTCAGTGCCAAGGGAGGGGGAAAAAAACTGCTCCTTGCTTTTAAGCACTCTTCACATCACAAGAAATGCATTTCCAGCCTGTCAGCCTTAGGGACTGTTGAGGAATGGTGGGTTCACTGGTGGTTGGGTGACTGCGGCTAAAATCTCTCTCCTGAGCTGTGCTGCTGGCCCGGCCGTGCCATCACCACCCGTGCCGTGGGCATGGCCACATACCCCCGGGCGTGCTGCCATCGGTGGCGTGTCCCCTGCCACCGGCTCACCACTCTGCTCGCTCAGCTGCCATCCAGCAGCGGTTTGCAGTCCCAAAAATCCAGGCTAGGTGGTCCGAAGGTCCTTCCTGCCCTTGGCACGGAGGAGTTACGAACTCTGCGGGACCCGTTTGCAAGCAAGGAGATCTGCTTGCACACTGACCCTGCTCCCTGACACCCTCCCTCCCCGAAATCAGGTTGTGTGAAAGATGCCTCAGTGCTGGGTATCTGCCTCCGGACATGCCCAAGACCCCAGCCTGAAATCTGAACCTCGGCGTGAGGAAGACTTGGGGCACCGGGTTGCGCAAGAACCCAGCTCCCAGCCTCCTCGCAGCGGTGGGGTATTGCATGCCATGGTTTCTGTGTGTCTGGAAGTGATTTGAAAAAGCCGGTCTGCTGTTAACCCTAAACAAAACAAAGGCCTTAAAAAAAAAAAAAAAAAAAATCTTGTCTCACTTATTCTTCAATCGCTAACCAGGAGTGACAGAGGTTTCAGGCTAGATTTCCTTCATATTCCTGCAGCCTCTTATTAATATTTTACAAGAGTAAATCAGCACCAGTCCACAGGAGAGCCCATACGGCTGCAAGGAGCCTCCTCGCCGCTCTCCCCCATCCTGTCCCGGCTGTGCAGCTGAGGATGGTGCTGGAGCATCGCCATGCCGGAGGAGCAGCCATGTGCCGCCGTCCGGAGCCGAGCCCCTGAGCCGCCGGCGGCTTTGGCTCTTTGCCTCAGCCTCAGGAGCAGCAAGGTGGGTGCTGGGGGGCCCCCAGGCCAGGGCCTGTGGCTGTTTGTGGGGTGAAATGAGCAGCTTTCGGGGCAGTGGGGCTGGGCAGCCGCTGGGGACACCCCCCAGGCACATTCCCCCGCTACCGATCCTGGCCTTTTCCCTGGGATTTGGCTGAGCATGCGGCGCTTTCTCCGGCTACATCCACCCCCCCCGGCCTCTCGCGTGGCCCAGCAGCATCAGGGCGAGCTCAGGGCTGCCCCAGAGCCAGGGTCGGACCTGGTGCCACCAGTTGGCATCGGGGACGTGGTGGGGATGAGCTGCAGCGGGGTGGGAGAAGGGAAAACTCCGATTTTCTTCCAGCCCTGGAAATAATGCTAAAAGCCAGGGGGTGGGGGGAGGCAGATGCAGAGCCTCGTGCCTGCCACGCTTGCCCTGCGCAACCTCTCCAAGCGTGGGCCTCCTCCACACAGGATGGCAGTGGGCTCGGGGTGCTTTCCTCCCGTGGGGATGGCACGGGGAGGGGCAGGGGGGGGGGGTTGTCGGAGCGGTGCTGCTGTCCCTGGTTCACTGGGGCAGTTTGGGAACCTCCTCTGCCCGCGGAGCAAATCCCAGGCACTTCGACCCCCGAGGGGGTGTGCGGTGCAAACCTTGGCTCGCAGCGTGTCTGCAAAACCTGCCTTGCGGGGCGTTTGCTGCGGGTGCCGCATCCCAACGTGGGGATGGGGAGAGGGGGGAAGAGCCAAGGAGGGTGGTGGAGGGGGAAAGGGAGGACGTGGCTGCTGGAGGAGCAGGGGATGAGAGCTGGGAAGCAGGGGGAGAGGGGAAGGAGAGCTGCGAGGGGGGATGGAGCAGCGTGCAAAGCACCCAAAAACACCTGGGTGCAAAAATGCCTGGGTGCAAAGCACCCAAAAAGGCCTGGAGCCCCCCCCAGGAGGGGGGGAGAGGGCGGTGCTGCCTGCCTGTAATATGGGCAACGCTGCACCCCTTGGCTCCCTGTCCCACAGCCAGCACCCACAGCGAAAGCTCCCCCACCCAGCGGGGGCTGCGGGCTGAGGCGCGCGGCGGCGGTGCCTGGCTCAGCTTTCCTTAGCAGGGGGAGCGGACAGACACACAACCCTCCCCCCCCCCTTTCCTTTCACCCCGCTGTCCCGGGGACGTGGGGATGCGACACGGAGCACTGGCGGCCCCCCCCAGCCCCGGCGGCGCGCGGGGAGGAAGCGTTGGAGATCCCTGGGCAGAGATAAGATCGGGTGACCTCCCCCCGCGCCCTCCTCGCCGGGCCTGGCGTCGGGCGAGCTGGACCCCGGCCTGGCACACAACCTCAGGAGTTGTATATTTTAATTTTTTTTCTTTTCCTTTTTATCATTATTTTTTTATTATAATTTTTATTTCCACACCCCCCCCCCCCCATTTTATTGGGCTGGTGGCTCACTGCCCCCCACCCCGGCCCCCCGTTTCCCTTCCTAGCATCCCGCGCAGCGCAGCACCACACCTAGCAGAGGAAGCGTGGTGGGGACGGCAGCCTCCGCTCCCCAGCACAAAGGCATTTTCCCTCCCCGCCCCCAGCCCGTGCCTCTGCCTGCCCGTTATTCCTCCCAGTCAGGTCCGACGCCGAGCTCCCACCCGCTTAAAAATAGATTCAGCACCACCTGGACCACCCCAAGGGGGATTTGGGGGGCTCAAAGCGGGGGTGGTGGGGATGGCAAGAAGGTAAGAGTGAGCGTTGCTGGCTGAACCCGATGGTTATTTCTGCTGCTGCTGGCTGCGGGTGGGGGCAGGAGCCCCACGTTGGTTTAGAGGCCACGCAATCAAATCCAAGGGATTTAGCCCCAAAATTTGCCACCAGGTTACAGAGGCGGCAGGTGGATGCTGCAGGGCCCCCGCAGCACAGGAGCAGCAAAGCCCTGAAGCGTGATAGGAAAACTGGTTTTTATTATTTTGCAGAGGGCGCAAGGCGCGAGGGGAGCAGTGGGGCAGGATCTGTCCCCGGTTCCTCGCTCGCTCGCTCACACCGACCAGCCTGGCTCCTAGACGGGTTCACGCCGCTGATGAATTAATCAAGCACCAATGCCGTGGTGGATGAAGGAGATATTTCACAGGAAGGGATTTCTTATTAATTATAGCTAATAATTATCTTTAGGCCACACTGCAGAGGTACCCGGAGCGATGCAGCCAGGCGGCGCGGACGTGACCTACACCCGCACCCGATTCTTCATCCCAAATGAGATGCCCTTTACCAGGGGTGACTGAGGGGAGCGGGGACGTTCCTCACACAATATGGGGTGACCCGGGTAGGGCTGCCCAGGCCGGCGGCTCCCCCAGCCCCCCGAGACGTGGCCCAGCGCCGGTGGGTCCCGCGGGCTCCCCCGGGGCCGGGACCGCTGCAGCTTTGCTGGAACAAAGGCTTCCCGAAGGAAAGCGCTTCCTGGAGAGCAAAAGGACTCGGGGCCGGGAGGCTGAAGTCATCTGCTGGGAAAGGCTCCGTGTTTCTCCGGAGCCTCCCTTTTTCCAGGGCCCGGCTCAGCACCCCGTTTCCTCGTGGGCAAATAGTTCAGTGGGTCAGGAGGAGCTGGCAAGCGCCGAGCAAGCAGGCCGGGGGCCTGCCGGGCGCCGGCAGATGCGGTACGGCACCCGTGTCAGGAGCATCCCGGCAGCAGCCGCGTGCCCACGCGAGGGTGACGTGTCCCCTGTGTTCCCAGCTGGGGACCAGACTCTTTCCCACCCGAGTCGGGGCCGTGAGTGGAGAACCATCAGTCGCGATCAGCCCCAGCCCTGGGAACGGCCGGCTCAGCTGTTTTTTGCTCATTTGCTCTTTTTCTTGGCTTCCAGCTCCATCTGACAAGTGAAGGGCACTGGGAAGAGTGGGAAGGTGCCCTTGGCCGCAGTGGCTCTCCGCCCCGGCAGCGTGCTGGCCCGGGTGCTGGCTGTCACCCTGTCCTGCTGCGGGGCTGAGCCGGGAGCGCGGCTCGGACATCACCCCCAAGCCCGGCAGTCAGGCACCACATCCGAGGAAGCGGAGAAAGTCGTCTTTTCTTTTTCAGCTCTTTTTAATAACCAGAGGTCGGCCTTGTTTATACGGGATTATAACTGGAACGACAACAGCAATACCCATTGTGTGAGCAGCGAAACCCACAGCTAACCCAAAAAAGCTGTTTGCACCGCACAGGCACAGCCGCCGCAACGTCCCCGGTGGCGGCCGAAGCCCTTGGTCCTCCCCGGGGCCGTCCTGCCTCCCCTTCCCTTGCTTTTTCCCCACCACAGCCCCTTCTTGCACAGCCCTGGCTCTCCGGTGATGGTCCCACCAGCTCAGGGTACCGCACTTCCAGCCACATCACCCCGTGTTTGCTCCCTGACCCGCTCCCCGTGAGACCCGGGGTGCAGCCCCCACGTCCCAGGCCTGAGCGAAGCTGCTGCAAATCCCGGCGGCGGTG